CTCTGTCTGAAGATAAATGTAAAAATATCCTCAGGTGAAGACTTACAAAAAATTTAGATAAATGAAAATAAAGTGTAACTATTTTTCTAGGCTCTCCACCAAATATCACTCTATTAACAGCTTGGCTCTAAGAAAGGGGTTGGGTGTCTGCAGTTCTAAACTCAGAATGGTTGACTGCAGAGAAAGAATGAACACCTGACAACCATGTCATAATGATGTAGTAAAGGTCACAGAGAACTCCAAAAACAAGACTGTGCTATTCTCACACACAGCTTTTCAATTCTCAACACATAATAGGAAGCCTCATTTTGTATGAATGAATTTTGGCTTATTATCATCATACAGATTTTGGAAGTTCAGCAGACTAGGACTCAACATATTTCAGATTTTACCACTGTAAAATAAATTGGGCCCAAAAAATTGAATACATACAGCAAACACTTCAGCACTTAAAGCAAATTTTGTTTTGGGTTTCAGCATAAGATTATGAAGTGACTACAAATCACTTTAGAATTATAACATTTCTAAGTTTGACAAGAAACAAACCATAATCTTTGGTTATCTCCTTTATACTTAATTTGCTTCCAAAAACAAACTATCCTTTTTCAATAATAGCTGGCTTTTGAAATATATATATATATATATTTTTTAATCCTCATCCGAGGACATTTTTTCCATTTTTTTTTTGTACAGATAGAGTGGGAGGGAGAGAGAGGAAGAGAGAGAGAGGGAAACATCGATGTGAAAGGGACACATCGAGTGGCTGCCACCCGCCCGACCAACCAGGGCCGGGGACAAACTGCAACCGAGGTACATGCCCTTAGCGGGAACCGAACCCGGGTCTCTCCGGACCGGACCGCAGGCGGACGCTCTAACCGCTGAGCCAAACCAGCCAGGGCTGGCTTTTGAAATATTATGAGATTGTCTTTAAAGTATATTCATTATACTTTCTCATCAGTAGAGAGGCTCATCTCTTTAGGGCACATTTCCAAACATCACATTTTATTTGTGCATAGCCTACTTCAGGTTAATGTTGTTAATCGTTGACAACAAATTATTTAAATTGTAATCCTCTAATGTAAATACTCTAAGCCTTATTTTCCTCATCTGTAATAGGAAGAGACTTGAGAAGTGTTTGGGGATTGTATGTTCAACTATCAAATTCTGTTACTCTAATTGGTTAATCTGTTAATCACAGCACTATCTTTGATCATTATAAATGTTCTAATAATAGTAAAGTATATAATAAAAATCGCTTATTCAATCAACTTCATTGATTTATTCAAATAGTACCAATTATGCACCAAGTATCAGAATTACAAAATAAACATATGGTTCCTTTCACTCATGAACTAGAAGTCTAGTTGGAGACACAAACATGTAAATCAAAATTATAACACAGACTGATAGCTATCCTGATATAGGTAACATTAACACTCTACTGAAAACCAGCAGAGCTGATAATCATTTATACCTTGAAGAGTAATGAAAGGTTTTATTAGGAAGTGATATTTAAACTGGGCCTTAAGGATCAACTGAAAATTTGCCTGGCAAAGACTCAATAGTGGGGGTGAGGAAACATTCCAGTCAGAGCCAGAACATTTGTGCACAAGACTGACTCACAAAAGAGATGAAGTATTTATGGAAAGGTGACATGTGTCATGTGACTGACACACTACTCATCAGTGTCAGAATAGGGAATGACTCTTATATATACAATGCTTCAAGATGGACAACTGGCTAGCTTCCTCCTCTTCCATATTTTGCCTCAAAATTACTTTTTAAATTCAGACCTTTTAAACAATTTAAGTCCTAAAACTGCCCCAAAATGCAAGTTCAAATAGGAATTGCCAATGCTAATTCTTATTACTTTCTTAACTGTACTATTATATATCTTTACATAAAGCAACTAGTCAAATATATAAAGCAATAAAATCTTCCCCACAATTACAGAATAGTACAAATTCACTATATCTACTATGGGCAGAAACAATTTTAGAATGTACTTTTTTTTTTTCTTTTCTTTTTTGTTTTGTTTTATTAATCTCACCCAAGAATATTTTTCTACTGATTTTTAAAGAGAGTGGAAACAAGGGAGGGAGAGAGAAACATCAGCATGAGAGAGACACATGGATTGGTCGCCTCCCACACAAACCCCAACCAGGACCAGAGATGGAACCTGCAATCCAGGTGCATGCCTTTGACCAGGAATCCAACTTGAGACCCTTCAGTGAGTAGGCTGACGCTCTATCCACTGAACCACACTGGCCAAGGTAAAATGTATTTTCTTTTTTTGAGAATACATTTCCTTTTTTTTTTCCTCACCCAAGGACATTTTTTTCCATTTTTTGTTCAGATAGAGTGGGAGGGAGAGTGAGGAAGAGAGAGAGCGAGAAACATTGACGTGAAAGGGACACATCGGCCCTGGCCAGTTTGGCTCAGCGGTTAGAGCGTCGGCCTGCGGTCCAGAGAGACCCGGGTTCGGTTCCCGCTAAGGGCATGTACCTCGGTTGCAGTTTGTCCCCGGCCCTGGTCGGTCGTGCAGGTGGCAGCCACTCGATGTGTTCCTTTCACGTCGATGTTTCTTTCTCTCTCTCTCTCTCTGTTCCTCTCTCTCTCCCTCCCACTCTACCTGGGCAAAAAATGGAAAAATGTCCTCGGGTGAGGATTAAAAAAAAAAAAAAAAAAAAAGGGACACATCGAGTGGTTGCCACCTGCATGACCCAACCAGGGCCAGGGACAAACTGCAACCGAGGTACATGCCCTTAGCGGGAACTGAACCTGGGTCTCTCCGGACCGCAGGCCGACACTCTAACCGCTGAGCAAACCGGCCAGGGACAAAATGTATTTTCTTAAAGAACAAAAGAAAATTCATGTATTTCTATAGTATTTTATCTGAGGAATCCAAACAAAAATAATTAAACTAAATATATACCAAGTTTAAGCTGCCATTTTCTAAGTAGAAAGTGTTATAGGTAAACTAAGTAACAGCCCTTGCAGGTTTGGCTCAGCAGTTAGAGCATCAGCCCACAGACCAAAGGGTCACAGGTTCAATTCCCAGTCAAGGGCACCTACCTGAGTTGCAGGTTTGATCCCAGCCCCTGGTCAGGGTCATGCAGGAGGCAACCAATTGATGTGTCTCTCTCACATCCCTCTCCCCTCCCTCCCTTCCTTCCACTCTGTCTAAAAAATCAGTAGGAAAATATCCTTGGGTGAGGATTTTATTTTAAAAATTAAATAACAACCACCGGTATTGGAAAATTAAGAATACATGCTGAGCCCTGGCCAGTTTGGCTGAACAGTTAGAGCGTCTGCCCGCAGACCAAAGAGTTTCAAGTTTGATTCCAGTCAAGGGCACGTACCTCAGTTGGGGTTCAGTCCCCAGCCCTGATCAGGGCTATGCAGCAGCAACCAATCAATGTGTCTCTCTCACATCAATGTTTCTCTCTATCCTCCTCCCATTCTGTCTGAAAATAAATGGAGAAATATTCTCAGGTAAGGATTTAAAAGGAAAAAAAAGAATACATGCTGATATTATATATATATATATATATATATATATATATATATATATATGCATATTCACTAGAGAAACACAGGTCATTACCAACTCTTTAAGAGAATAAAGTTTGTGATATGTTGGTTACTGGGATCTCCTCACTACAGACCAACACTATGAAGGAGGCCAGAGTCTCCAGACAAATAAAAGTGAGTCAATTTATCATTTCAATCATAATACAGCCAAGCTGAAGTACTGAAATCTAACTACCATATATATGGTTTCCTTGTAAAAATGAATGCCAAGTTCTCATGGTCCTGCCTGATCCCTCTCTTCCCTTTCCCACTCGTTCAGTTCTCCCTCTGCTCTTTTCAGCATGAGACTGTCAGAATGGAGCTGACAGGCTGAGTTGGGTTTTCATGGAATGTACAGAGATGGGAGAAAATTAAATCTAGCAACTGGAGTGGGCAGTAATATCCTAACAATAATAGTTCAACATATGTTAACAGCCATGATCTCTAGGCAGTTAATTATGATTATTTTTTTATCCCATATCTAATTTTTCTCATTTCAAAATTCATATAGAAGTATCCAGATTGACAACAAAATATCCCCAAATCTTAGTAGCTATTATTTCTGGACATTTAATATACAGCTAATTTTTAATCTATATCTAATTTTTCTATAATGATGTATTGCTTTAAGTTTTATTTTGTTTTCTTAATTAGCAAAAATAATTAGGCAGCAACTAATGAATTAATTAGGTAGACTAGCTTGTGGGAGTTCTGAAAGCAAATGGAATCCACTATCTGTAAATATAGGTCATTCGTAAATACTTACTGTCTGTGGTAGATAGTGAGATGATGATGTTATTACTATGACTTCTGAGCCTGACAGACTTCAGTACTTAATATAAAATCTTGTTAAAATGTTACTGAAAATAGCATATCTACAAAGCTATAAAATCATAAAAAGGGATGACAAACATTTAAATCTATAGTACTGGTGAACCACTTCTCATTTAACTATTTTACTTTGGACTAAAATTAACATCTGAAGAATAATTTATTGCATGCATTTCTTATGAGATTTGCTCTACAACTATTAATACACTAATGTCCCAACAATTATGCTCACAGAGAAATAGTATTAATGAAACTATATGTAAGAATTTTTGCCCAAGTCAAGAGCACAAAACAAGGTGCATCCTAAACCAAACTAGGCAAAGACTGAAGTTACTATATTCCAAACACAAGACAAGTAAGACATCGTGGTGACTCTCACCAAAAACAACAGACACTCAAGACAGACAAGAAAACACCTCTGTGTGTGCACACACATATACAGACTACAGAGACATTAGATGTCATAAATACAAATCATGTTGAGGAAGATGACTTAATACAAAGTTGCATTTTACCTGCTCAGAAACTAGGATGCATATACAATTCTAATCCATTTACTCTTTTTACATTCCAGGTTACCTCAGAGTGATCTCACATTTTGGCTGTCTGCTTTTTACCTTTCTCTTGATCCTTTAAAACTTCAGACTTCCTTGCCTTCCTGAGTCATGGAGAAAGTCCAATACCTCACTCGCTCTGCTATAAGAAGAGCTTCAACCATTGAAATGCCTCAACAAGCACGTCAAAATCTCCAGAACCTATTTATCAACTTCTGTCTCATTTTGATATGTCTCTTGTTGATCTGCATCATCGTAATGCTTCTCTGAAGTTCTGCTGCAATGGCCAATGCTGCAACTTATCACCATCAGCTTAAAGCCTGTCATCCCATGAAGAGGGGAAACAAATCACTTCCTAAGTAGAAGAAATTCTTCATGAAAAAGTCAAGATTCAGAAGAAATTATTAGCATGTGTAACATCCGCTGGAACTTGTATAAACATGAAAAGGGCTCTATTTTCAAAATTAACTTTAAAATGACTATAAGTGTGCATAATGTAACTGTTGATTTCCACAACAGAGCTTATAAATTTCAATCCCAAATCTTTTCTGAGGATGAACTAGGAATTTAGTTTTGAAACTGTACTGCTAACAAGTTCACTTCATATATAAAGCATTAGCTTCACTATTTGGGGTAAATATAATTTATACTATACTGTAAAAGCCTCTTTGATGTTTATTAAGCATTTTTCAGGTCTTCACCAGTACCAACATAATCATTCAAATGAAGTGTCATTATTTAAAATAGGCCACTCATTCCTCACGTTATCTTTATTATTATATAAGCGTATCTTTAGTAACTATCATAACCTCCATTCTAAAATAGAAATTGCATTCTTTTTCTATACTTACCCTAACATTGCTTGAAGTTCATGATAATCAGATAGAAAAAAGGCCATACTATTACATAAATAAAATTTAACTAATTTTTTCAAAGGATTACAAAATTCTAGTACATGTAGATAACCATAAATCTATTCTCTCTAGGACATGATGATTAATAAAGGTGAACTACTGGTTAATTTAACAGCTGACAGTGTGATTAGCCATAATTACTAATACACTAAATAGAACAGTCTAACCTTAATTTATGGTACTGTAGTTCATTATCTGAGTTAAAGTACATAACTTGCCATACTGTATCTTTGAAATCATGAAATCTTAAGACTTTATATTTTATAGGTTGCCCTCTATGCTATCCTATTCTATCATACTCAATGTAGGCATGCAAAAGAAGAATAAAATATATATATTTCAAGCATTGAAAAATAAAATTTTGAATTCTCTCTGCAAAATTAATTAATTCTTTGATTACATTTTGAAATAACTTTTTGTCTTACTATTGTTTATGACAGGATATAGTTACTTCCCTAATCTATCAATCAGATGGTAAACACTTATTTGGTAGGCCACTCTATTACACTAAATTATATACCCTGCAATGCTAATCTACTATTTTTTTGCTGAACACATTTTCTATTTCCCATCTGGTCATTTAAAAATATCTTCCAACAACTCATAAAACAACAGAAGCAAAAAATGGTGATGGATAATATATTCAACCGAAATTTGGTAATTTAAGTGGACTCAGTTGAAAATGAAGCCTAAAATGATTTACACCTATACTGTATCATCCAATAATTGTAACTTTAGTCAAGACATAATACTAATACAGCAATTATTAAAGGAGTAGAGAACATTTAGTTTACTGTATGATATGTTGAAATACGGTTACTAAATTTGAAAAATCAATATTGACCTTGGTTTGTAACACCAATGCTGCTAGCAGAATAGTGATGGAGACATTATTTTTTTAATTCTTCTGAATCCCCAAGTGGTACGGGAGATGGGAGGGGGATTCACTTATACCTGAGAAACAGAGGGAAAAGGGATCTCATACTGACAGGGGAATTTCTTTAGCAAAGCCTTATCTATAAGTTGGAGATCCCTAATATCAACTAGAAAGCTTATAAATAACAAGACGTACATTCACCTCACCGGTGTCAGTAATTACCCATGCAAAACGTAACGAAGTTCTATAATTAGCTACATGATCTTAAAAATAAGTCGGAAATTTGAAATAAGAAGTTTTATTCCTTTCAATATACTGTTCATCACAATATCAACATCAAACTATAAACTGTGCAGATATTGGGTTTTCTTTAATAAATTATAAATAAATATCTTTTGTTTTTCCCTCTGCCTTTAATAGAAATTAAAATCGAACACTTGATTACAGAATACTGTGATTCAGGTATAATGAAGAACAGAAACCCATTATTTAAATGTAACTTATTCTGTTTATCATGATGTGTAAATAGTAAAATATAATAAAACAATGTATTTAAAAACTTTTAAATACCAAATGCTCAAATACTTTCTACTGCAGAATAAATTCCAAACTTAATTCACAGTCCTAAAAATTAATTACTTTTTAAATGTTTAATGTTGCCTTTTATATTTTGGTTTAATATGTTCACTTAATGCAAATCACTTACATTAAAAATGACCTTCTTGAACTCAGTGAAATTACTATTTAATACACTCATGATCGATATGACCATAAAAAATGTAATATAGTAGTTTTGATTTTGTAGATTGTTTTCAGTGACATTCCCCATATAAAATAAGATCAAGATTTCCTAGTACAGACACAAGAGGGCAGACCTACATAAAATAATGAATTTCCTTCCACCTAGAAATTACTTATCCTTTGATTACTTTTGAGTCTCACGGCAAAGTGGAAAAATCATAAATTTTCAAAAAGGCCTGCTCCTCTAAGTAACAATATACTTTAAAATGTCCAAAAATTATATTCTAATACTATACAGAAAAGTTGACAAATGGAAAAAAGTCAAATATTACTAATTTTATTTATTTTTTTCTTTCTTTTTTTTTTTTTTATCCTCACCCGAGGATACTTTTCCATTTTTTGTACAGATAGAGTGGGAGGGAGAGAGAGGAAGGGAGAGAGAGAGAGAAACATCGACGTGAAGGGACACATTGAGTGGCTGCCACCCGCACGACCAACCAGGGCCGGGGACAAACTGCAACCGAAGTACATGCCCTTAGCGGGAACCGAACCCGGGTCTCTCTGGACCGCAGGCCGACGCTCCAACCGCTGAGCCAAACTGGCCAGGGCACTAATTTTATTTATTAAAGTATGTACACAAAATTCATTTATATGCTTTTCACTAATGAATGTGTTATGATGGCATCTCCTATCTATTCAGGGTTTCATTGTGTCCACATCTTTCAATGTAGTTATATTATCTTAAACATTTTTTTAAATTAAAGATAAAACAGGGTGTAAAAATAAGAAAACTGTTTCTTTTCAGAGGATGTAACAGAAAACACAAAAACTCTTATATTAAAATAAAACTTTTTCATTTTCAAATGTTAGACAAAATCCAAGTCACTTAACTTGGTCATTTTATAAAATTTTTATTTATACTTTTGATTTATGTAAGATAAATCTTTCAGTGAAGTATGTTGAAGTCATTAGAAGCCCATGTGTTGGCTGAACAAGCCCCTCCATGATTTAAATAGGCACAAAATTTATCTTCCTCTTTTTAATGACTACTGCAACTCAGAACTTAGAAACATGCTAGAGAATATAAAAGAGGATAAACAACTTTGCCAGTAAAGAGAACGCTTCTTCACTACTGTCTGGGAAATCCACTGTGAGCTTATGGAAATCCAATGGATGCTGTTGTGTGTAAAAGTACACACACACCATTCCCTTCTTACTCACTCCCTCCCCCCAAAAAGAAATGCAACAGGGACATGAGAAGAGATATATTCTTTCCAAAGAGAAAACACTTTTCTCTTCGTATAGGGTCAGACAGCTTTTGGGGAGGGTGGGAGGAGAGGGGTGATATACAACAGAGGAAAGACTCAAAGACACTAGTGGACATTACACATAGAAGCCTATATCCCAACCAACTGAGGGCACAGATGGCTTCTCTTCATTCACAAAGGAAAATGCTAAGGAGTACTACACTACCTGCACTGTAGCTGATTTGGTAGAAAACCATGGGAATCAAGGAACACTATGTAATAAGACTATGAGGCTGACTCAGAAACTATTCTGGACTGAATCCTAAAAAGAGCGAAACCTCTGTGTTAGAATATTAGTCATTTGAGGGGGAACAAAAGAAGGGAAGAAGACTGTGAGGATCAAATGAAATAAAATACTCCAAGAGCTACAAAGTTCTCTATAAATCTATCATGGTGTCAGAATATGACTCTTGACCAAATTCCTTTTCCTAGTTGTAAAAATTTTTTTCATGGTGAGAGTTTAGCAGTTGTGCTTAAAAATCATACATATTCTCACATGAAGAAAGAGCTAGTCCTTAATGTGGCTCGCCCCTTTATGTAAAGATTAGACTCAAAGAAAGTCAATGTTTTAAAGAGTCTTTTAAGAAACAACTAAGATGAGTGCTTTTAAAATAATAAAGATAGTACTGGACACTCCAAGGAAAAGGTATTCAAGAATTTTTTCTGTAATAGTCCCAGAAGGGAATTAGAAGAGAAGCAGTCATTTAAACATTGAAATGGAAGTGTCTGAGTTTTCTCTACCTACTTTCATTTTTCTACTCCCAAACTGAAAAGCACTGTAAAGAGATCATCCCAAATAAGGTTAATCAAAAAGTAAGACTTTCCGGGGTGTGTGCAAATTTTGTGCCTTAGTAGCTTTCTTCCTCTACCATGTACTGGGAAGATTAAAAAAGAAGTTTTGCTCCACAATGCACCTTCAAGATCCCTACCCTCACTGCACTGTTAGGTTGGGGAAAACTCTGTTACAGCAGAGGTTCATTCATCTAAGCAGAAAGAAAGAAGGCGTGAATAAATACTTACTCTTATAAATTCACCCAATTTTCTGTTACCTTTCTATCGCATCTACTATAGGTTGGAATAGAATACTCAGCCCTCCTGGGAAACTCCAATTCTGTGTAGACACCAACTGGAGAAATAACTGCCTGATCCTTGTTCTTCTATAATAAGCATTTGAGAACTAAAACATAACAGTATTTTTAAAATTGAGTGTTCTATCTTTCAATCACTTGAATTGATAAATCACAAATAAATCTGGTTAAACTGTTCCTTTCCGATTTGTAATTCAGAAGCCATAATGATGCTTCTGTCTAATTATGTACTTTAATATACATAATCAAGATTATAAGAACCAGAATTCAACACGAGTAAAGGTGGCACATAGGATGTGTTAAGGGTTCTCCTGTGAATGAGCACACCAGGTTATGTGTATTTTAAGGTTGTACTCAGATTTGTGAGGTTCCTAGATAAGTGATCACCTTATCCTTTCATAGAATATATTCCTTTAATCTTTAATATTTTTATTAGTAACAGGAATAAATAGTAATTAAAAATTTTTGCTCTAGAAAAATTTTGCAATTTTTGATTAAATTAGTTACATGAAAAGGTGCTCAACATCACTAATCATTAGGGAAATGCAAATTGAAACCACAGTGAGATATCACCTCACACCTTTAGAATGGCTATTATAAAAAAGACAAGAGATAAGTATTGACAAGAATGTGGAGAAAGAAAAACCCTTGTGCACTGCTGGGTGAGAATGGATTGCTTCACTCACTATGGAAAACAGTATAAAGGGTCCTTAAAAAATTAAAAATAGAATTACTATATGATCCAGCAATTCCCCTTCTGGGGAATTTATCCAAAGCAAACAAAAACACTAAAAAGATATGTACATTCCCATGTTCACTGAAGCATTATTTACAATAGCCAAGAGATGGAAGCAACATCAGTGTCCATTAGTGAGCGAATGGCTATAGAAAATGTGGTGTATGCAGAATGGGGCAAAAGTAGGTTTGCAACCTGAGTACGCAAAACACAGAGTTTATTCCTGTATTTGAATTTATTAAATATTGTATTATTTTTCATATGGACAACTGTAAACCTACTTTTACCCCACCCTGGACACAACAGGATATTATTCAGCCATAAAAAAATAAAGAAAACTGCCATTTGTACAATATGGTCGGATCTTAGAGGGCATTATGCTAAGGGAAATAAGTCAGACAGAGACAAATACCATATGATCTCACTTATATGTGGAACCTTAAAAAAAGGGACTCATGGATACAGAGAATAGATTGCAGGTGGTTCCCAGAGGATAAGGGCTAGAGGCCTGTATTATACTGAAAGTTGCTAAGAGTGTAAATCTTAAAAGTTCTCATCATAGGGAAAAAAACTTGTAACTATATATGGCAATAAATGTAAACTAGACTTATTATAGTAATCATTTTGCAATATATAAATATATCAAATCATTATGTTGTACACCGGAAACCAATATAATATGTCAATTATATCTCAACTAAAAGAAAAAGAAACTGAGGCCCAGGGATATTAAATAGTAAGCGCTAGGTAGAGAATCATCTAGGTTCTGAATTTGATAAGAACAGAAACAAAATCTGATACCTCATATTCCCAAATTAATATTCTATGATACCAAGCCAGATCCTTTGTTTGTTTCAAGTTTCTTTACAATTAATGTTTTGTTTTACTTTTATGTCCATTGAAAAATGAGAAGGAAAGTAAAGACCAAGTTTTTCATGTCAATCAGCCTCAAATATTTTTTAAGTTTTGTCTATCAATGCATTAGTTTGAGCAGTTATAACATCTATGATTGATTACCTACTTTCAGGGGAAAGAAAAAGCAAAACAATCTGTGCCCGTGGACACTGTCATACGCTTACTGCCCGTGTGCTAGTACTGTACTCACAGCATCCACTGGAGGGAAGCAAACGCTAGATTTTGAGCCTTACCTGCATTGGTGTTTCACTTTCTTGTGGAAATTCTTCAATTTGTTGCTGTTGCCAAGGAGCTAAACTGTAGGAGTCTTCTGTAGTTCTACCTTCCAAAGGGTTTGTCCGCAACTGCTCTGTAAGCCACATCTGTGTCCTCACAGAAGGCTGAATGGGTACTCCACCTACTGCCTGCTGACCAAGCAGTAAATATTTCGGAGGTTCCAAAGCCTCTGGGCTTGTCATATTGGGCTTGCTTTCAGGTAAGGCACTGTATGTCATGTCTAAGGCCTGTCTCCTCAGAGTGGAAGCAGCAGCTCTAAAATCCTCTTTGCTACAGCTCTCAAATTTATATTTGCAGTCCAGAGTTGATCGTTTTTTACTCATTTCCTTGTCCTCCAGCTTAAGCATCTCCATACTATCATGTAAGCAGCTAGGCCCCAGTGTCCTTGGTTGTGATGTGAAAGCCTTGCCTCTCCGCGTCTTTTCCAGACAACTGCTTGACTCCTCCGTGTGTGCAGTGCCACCCTGACTGCAGTTATCGGGGGCGGTGAGTTTGGATAAAGATGACCATTTCCGGAGGGGCCGGAAGTCCTTCATGTCTAGTGAAGAGTCCTGCTCTCCCCTACTGTTGTTTCCCAATGTTTGCAGGAGGCTTGCACCCCATTTCGAGCCATCTGATGTCAAGGATTCCCTGTGTTTGGAAACTGAAGCGCTGGAGTGAGACGGCATGACATGGGCAGTAGGAAGAGTAACCAATGACCGACTAGGCTTAAAAGTTAATGTGCCACTTGAAGTTGAGTGATCTGGAAAGAGAAAATAATGTCAAATGCATTGTAATTAACAGGAAAAAAGAAGCAAAATATCAAAACAAAAATCTGCACAAGTTTCCCAGCACAGGTCTTTTAGAGACACTTTATCAAAATGAGGTAGTAGTTATTACTACTATTATTATTCCTTTAAATTTATCTGAAACAGATCAAATTTTCATATATTATTTTCTAAAAACACATACATAGCAAAATATATGTCCATTTACCATCTACTGAGAGATGAACAATGGCTGGAAACAGGCTTATATTCACCCCCATTTAATCTAAGTGTGTGCCTTTAAAAGAAAAATGCATCTCCCATTGACAGGTCTTACTCATAATCCAGCATTGAGGATTCAGATACAACCCTATCAGATAATTGTATTTTTCAGTGACTTTCCTAAACTGGGGAAATCTGTGCCAAATCTGAACATTTTAGCATTTCCCCAAAACTCAAATTCAAATCAGAAATATAGGTAAAGGAGTTCCTGCAATATTAGAAAATAATAAGAAGGGTTCTAGCAATATATCTGCAGATACAGAATAGTTCTTATGTTCCCAGTCTTCCCTAATGGCATCATCAATGATTTATTTCCCAAGCTAGAAATCGTGTTTGGAGTATACTTTGGTTTCTATCTTTCTCTGCACACTTGCTTCCAAAATGATTACATGGCGATTGCCTTAGGTCAGGTCTTCACACAGTAGTGCTCTACACAAAGGAACAGTTTTAGTGCAAACTCAAAGAATAAATAAGGGCCTCTACACTCAACAAACTTACCATTTAGTGCCAAATTATCATCAATGTGCCAAATTAAAAGCGAATAGTAGCCCTGGCCGGTTTGGCTCAGTGGTAAGAGTGTTGCCCTGCGGTCCAGAGAGACCCGGGTTCGGTTCCTGCTAAGGGCAAGTACCTCGGTTGCAGTTTGTCCCCCGCCCTGGTTGGAACGTGCGGGTGGCAGCGACTCGATGTGTCCCTTTCACGTGGATGTTTCTCTATCTCTCTCTCTTCCTCTCTCTCCCTCCCACTCTATCTGTGCAAAAAATGGAAAAATGTCCTCGGGTGAGGATAAAAAAAATAATAAAAATAAAAAGAATACTAATTGATGCAAGTATGAAGCCAGAGAATGCTATTCAAAAAGAAGACAAAAATTTACCCCATTTATCTGCAGTATGGAGTAAGTGTCAAGAAAAGTTGCTCAAGGCAATTCTTGAAAGGCAAAGATGGAGCAGAGTTGCACAAGCCTTCAAATGCCCTCTAAGGAAAGAACTGGCCTGCAAGAAATGTCATAGCACTGAGAGTGTCCATGCAAAGGAATGAGTGACAGGACCAGAACTGCACTTACGATGATTATTCTGGTAGCAGTGCTGAGGATGGACCAAAGCAAAATGATTGGCAAGAGAGGGAGAATACCAGGCTATTATAAAATCAGTAGAAGAAGAATATAAAGGGCAAATATCCCCAAATGTCTATGGAATATTTGTATTAATATAGTATAGTATAATATCTATCATATATATGTTTGTGTTATATTCCTAAATATTTGTATTAAAATCACCATATAGTCCTAAAGAAAACCTTTATATTTTTTTTTTCAAAAAGCTTCATATGAAATTTGAAATTTTCAGTTTTTTACATTTAAAAAATTCATAAGTAAATATATAGTGGAAAGGTTAGGTGTAATATTTTGAAATTGGTCATTTTACATTCAGATCCTGGCTCTATCACTTAGTTGTGTGTGCTCAAACAAATTATTTAACCTCCTTGCATCAGTCACCTTACCCAGGAAGTGGAGATGACAACAGAGAGGACTCCATGAAACAGTACACATAAAGGGCTCAGAACTCCTGACACAAAGCAAGATGCTAGTTATTATGACACCTTTGAAAATGTTAAAGTAAATGGCTAAATGTCTAGAAGGAAATTAGCAAGCAAATCACCAAACAGTAAATGTTCCTTTGATGATAGGAGCATAAATTGTTATAGCCTTTGGAAGAAGAGGGGCAATCTGCATATATACCAATATTTAAAATATATAAACATATAAATGAATATATGTAAACATATACTTATTCATGAATAGAGAAACAGTCTGCAGGAATACACCTTAAACTTTTTTTTTCCAGCTCCCAGATGACTTTTGTTTTTTATTTTTGTTACAGATGTTTCTCCTTTTTCCCCCATTGACACCCTCCTCCCCATCCCAACCCCACCCCCAGCTTTGTTGTCCATGTCCATCGGTTATGCGTACATGCATATATGTTCTGTGGTTTATATCTTCCCTCCCCCTCCACCCCCTCTTCTGAGGATTGTCTGTCTGTACCCTACTTCCATGTCTCTGGGTCTACCCTGTTCCTCGGACAGTTATATTCATTATATTGCACAAATAAGTGAGACCATGTGATATTTGTATTTCTCTGCTTGGCTTGTTTCGCTTAGGATAATACTCTCCAGGTCCCTCCATGTCGTCTCAAAGGATAAGAGATCTTTCTTTCTTACAGCTGCATAGTACTCCATTTACACCCAAAACTTAATAAACAAAGGTAACCTCTGCACAGTGGAAGAGAAGAAAGATGCTTTCATATTTTACTTTATACAATGTCTTGTTATAATTTCTTTTCAAGGAGCATTACTATTTAGTCAAACTTCTGCAAAGATGTTTTATTTTGTGACCTCAAAGAGTCTGAAATCTCTCAAAGAACACTGTTCTAAAGTATGAATAATACATCAGGTGACTGTCTCACTTTCCATGTCACAGAGATCACCAGTCTTTGCTGCTGCTTATATCTGATAATGTGCTACTTTCTTGTCTCTCTTTGCTAGCTCATTATTTCCCAACTGCAGAGAAAATAAACAATTGGTGATAAAAACCAATTCCACATTAGGCTAGTATTTACTCCTACAAATCTGATAACAATTTAAATTTGAGCATACAAAAGAACTTGCCTGAGATGTAGAGCCCTACTCCAAGAGATTGTGATTCAGGAAAAGTAGAGAGGGGGCCCAGGAAATAACCTGTTATAATAAGGGACCCTGCCATTCTATTCTTATTGCACCTGGGTCTATCTAATTCCAGTTCTGAAGGCTACAAGTTTAAATATCCTAAGTTCAATCATCTGAGTGCTAGTGTAAAAAACTGATTTCCTGTGACATTCAGAATTTATTACTGTCAAAATTAAGAATTAAAGCTTAGTCTATTCACATACATATATGCACATGCATACACATGTACACACACAACATGAATTCATGAACAAGGAACTAAATATCTGACAGTAAGAATATATGAAAAAGGGACCATTATATCTCAAACAGAGATGAGTCCATAAAATATTAGTTTTAACAATTTTAACACTTTAAAAATGTTATCTTGCCCTAATGAAACACAATCAATTAGAGGTAGATGCATGCAGTTCCTAATGTGTTTTATTATACTGTCTAATTGTAGCCACAAATTCCAAATGCAAATGATTACAATGGCATCTAGCTCACATCTAAGCTATAACAATGAAATATGAAACCAGCAGAGGGTCATTCTTTAAAATGCCAGAGACAGGGTTTATAGTATTCAGAGAGCACAGAAGAGCTAATGGGCTCAGACTGACTTCAGCCTGTCAGGGAAAAAATATAAGAGGACATTGCTGTAACCTGATAATGCAAGTGAATTATATTTCAGATAACATATTCAGAATTCTAAAAAAAATCTCAACCTTCTGTTTTACTCTCATGTTATCCTTACTTGGCAATAGATAAATGCACTGATTCTATCTTCTCTCTTTTTAGGGAGAATCTATCTCTCTGCTCTATCCTTCTTAAAGTAAAAGGGAATTGAGACCACACCCTCCAGAACTATATTGTAACAATAAATCATGAGTCTTTACAGTTAAAGGAAAAAGTAGTCAGGATGCTACACAAACCTGTATCAAAATACTCTAATTTTAAATGTGACAGTTTAATAAATTTATCTGTCAATATTAAATATATAATATTTTACATTTTAAAACAAAAATATTAACTTCAATCCAAAGTCAGTAATTCAGCTTCATACAACACCATGATAGTTTTTTCCTCCCCTGCTAATGCCACCACCATATGAGAACAAATTTTTAATGCTACATGTAATCCCATTCTTCTTTAAAAACAAAAAACACAAATGAAAATTTCTAAGCATTCACTATAATTTCAGGTAAATATTTTTAAATATTCTAAAGTATATACTCTGATAGGAAAAGGGCTATTTACAGAATCTTGACGATAATCCAACCAAAGAATCTCTGAGATATGTATTATACACAAGGCACTGAGCTAGGCAGAAAAGATAATGCAAACATATTATTCACAATAACAATATAAATATAGTCCTTCCCCTTGGAATTTACAATTTATCACTGTTACATACACAGCTGCAGAGCAGGACTAGTTTATCATAAGGAAACTACAAAGCTCCAGACAACTAGAAGTGAGCCAGAGAAAAGGCAGACTATTCATGCAAGAACTCTCAGAATGGCAGCCAACTGCTCAAATGCAATAATGGAATCCAGAACACAGTGAAATAATACCTTCAAAGGGTTAGAGTAAATAACTGGCACCCAAGGACTGTTTGGAAATGTATGTTATCTTTCAAGATTGAGGCCAAAATATATTTTCAGCTCAGCAAAAACAGAGTTTATCACCAAAAGACTCACTAAAAGAACTACTAAAACCCCATTTGTTTCTTTCAGGAAGAAGAAAAGCCCTAAATAGTAAAAAGGAATAAATATTTTTAAAGTAAAATTACAACTAAATAAATTAATTAAAAAAAACAAAAAAAAAAAACAAGGACAGCCCTGGCCGGTTTGCCTAAGCAGTTAGAGCGTCTGCCCGTGGACCAATGAGTCACAGGTTTGATTCAAGGGCATGTACCTTAGCTGAGGTTTGTTCCCGGCCCCAGTCAGGTCATGCAGGAGGCAGAGGCAACCAGTCAATGAGGTTTTATCACATTGATGTTTTTCTCTGT